GAAATATAATGAATTCAGAGCAAGGGAAAGACCATGCGAAAGATGAAAATAACATAAATATAACATAACCCTTGATCCGTCAGGGCCGTGGAGGTGTCTCAATGGAAGCACTAAAACACAAAACCCACCATCTTTCTCTGTCTTCCGCTTGACAAATCAGTATATGGCAACTTAGTCCTGCCCATTTTTTGATGTCATTGCAAATTCTTCTTTGCCCTCCTCTTCTTTCAACTACCCTCCTGTGTTCTTTGCAATCGAATCAACCTATGAAAAGTAAAGATCAACCTCTACAAGACATTAAAAAAAAGAACACAAGCGATCCTCATGATGATCCCAACACTGGGTTACTGGAGAAAAGGGGGGAAAAAAAGCACACCTCATTACAGGGTCTTCTTGACCCATGACCAAGTCCCATTCCAACTAACAGGTCATAAGTCAAACTGGTCGTAAGTCAAATTTATATTTTTTAACACTAATTTCTTTCCAACGGGTTGTAAACATTGTACATAAAACACAACAAATCAGTCTATGTATAATTATTGTACATAATGTGAAAAATACATAAAATGTTTTTTTATTGCATCAGTTTTGGGAACTTTTTGACCCTACCAGTGTACTATTTTTGGTTGTCATAAGTGCAGATGATCATAAGCCGCAGAGAGGGCATATATTGTTTCATTATCCTGCCCTATTCACATTATTACTTTACCTGCTTTTGTTTAACAGTAATTTTTTTAACCCTGTTACAGGCACCGCTGATTACTTTAAAGTGATAGAACATATAATAGGGCTGTACCGAATAGTGATTTTCACTATTCGGCCGAATACGAATAACGGGACCAACTATTTGGCCGAATACGAATACGAATAGTGTATAGTGTATACAATATTTCTTTAAACAAAAAAAAACATGCATAATGTCAAATGTATGCTGAACTTTTACTGCACACAAAGTAGCACAGAATAGTCATCTTCTTCTTTAGTATTCTGAGCCCTTTAGGTTTATTGCTGCAGATATCACTCGTCTCCATTCATCTCTCTGGCTGGCCTTCTCTTGACAATTTGTGACACCAGTTGTTTGCAGGCCTGGCTGGACATTATCTCTTGAATTTCTTTCTTGTCTACCTGTCTACCTATTGGTCTATGCCTATTGGTCTACGCCCATTCCTCTCTCAGATGTATACAGTTTTACTTCTCTGTCATCTGACATTCTTTCATGATGCCCCAACCATTTTAGTCTGTTAGCTCTCATGATGCCAGTGATCAATGGTGATTTCAACAGATTAGGTGTTACGCTGTTGCTTCTCACTCTCCATTGCCCGCTGTTAGCATCTTTGATGGGTCCGAAGATTTGTCACAAGACTGTTTTTGAAAACCTGTAATGAGGCCTCATCTCTTGTTTTTTCTGCTTCCAGTTTCAGAGCTATAAAAAACAACTGGTCTCAACGTTTTATATATTTTGATCTTGGTGTTGCGAGACAGCACTTTGACTTTAGCAGATGTTGAAGGGCATTGTATACTTTATTTCTAGATTGTATTTCTTCTCTCAGCATGTTGGAGCAGTTGAAGTTTGCACCCGAGTACTTATGTTTCCGTTCGTTTGATTTTCATATTATGGACTTGGATGTGGGCGAAGTTTGTATTCTTCACATGTCTAGTTAGTATTCGCATAGAATAGTGAACATTTAAAAACATTTTATGTTTTGCATCCTTCAGTCAGTCTGTGGAAACTAATAACTAGGAATGAAAGAATCCTAAGTATTATAACAAGTAACTAAACTTGAAAATTGTCACTGACAGCTTAGTTAATGCATGGAAGCTGCATTAGCTTTCAACAAAACCAATCGTTCCATGTTGTCAGCATTAAGGCCGTGTATGCAAAAGCCGGTGTAAGGTAACTACTATTCGTATTCGGCCCGACCGTAACTTTTCGGCCGAATACCGAATAGTCAATAGGTCCACTATTCGGCTCCGAAGCGAATATTCGGTACAGCCCTAACATATAATACTTTGCCTGACATGTTGTCAGTTATTCAATGAATCAGTCTGAATGGCATCTGCTGCAAATCCTTGATAGCTTCAAAATATTAAGGAAGTGGGGTTTTTCTTCCTTTTTTTTTTTTGGCTGAAATAATTTTTTTTAGTAGGTTTAAGGTAACATTCTAGAATGTTGGGTAATAGAAGGAATGTACTAACTCCAGACAGCTTTCAGCATTATGAGAAACATATTGTACCTTTAAGAATGTTTAAGGTAAGAAACAAGAAATATTTTACTTTTTAGAATGTTGGAGTTAAGAAACATAGAAATATTATACCTGTTTAGAATGGTTAATATAAGAAACAAGAAATATTATACCTTTTTAGAATGTTAAAGATAGGAGACACAGCTTTAAAGCTGACTTCTTTCAATATTCTGGGTATGTATTGGTGGCTGGAGCAGGGTTTGAAATGAATACCATCCTTCTTATTCTTCTTCTCCTCCCCCTCATCCTTATTCTTCAGCAGCATTCCAGATTGTCAAGGTTCATTGCTGCAGATATGACCCACCTCCGTTCATCTCTTTAAGTGACCTTCTCTTTCCAGTTGGTGATTCCAAATGTCTGTAGATCTGCCTGTATATTTTACTTCTTCTTCTTCGCGTCCAACGGCTGGAAACTCTGGCACAACATTCTGATTGTTCATCCACCTCTGGACTTTAGACTTGTTCCAGAACCTGACTGTTGTTTGCACATCCATTTAACAGATCTGACTTATGTGTATGCAGACTGTTGGTTCCTTGCCTTTCAGGCAGATGTACTCTGACTTTGAAGGAAACACCCAATTAGTCGACTCTTGGGACATGCTTGTTGAGGAAGCAGTGGGTCTGTTTCCCCCACCGTGAGACCCCGGAACCCACACAGGAAAGCCTGTAAATTATATGTCCACCTTCTTGGCTGGCCTTGTCGTCTACTCCCTTGAAACTATAGCAGAATATGAACTCCAGGACTGCACCGAATATGACATACTGAGGCAAACTTTTTAGCCAGAAAGAACAACAGTGGAATGCAAACTCCATGGACCACTGAGTGAACTAAAAAAAAACAACAACACTGAAATTTATACGAGAGGCAAAATTGCTGATAAGACAGTTTATTTCAGGCAAACAGAAGAAGAAGAAGAAGGAGAAGAAGAAGAAGAGATCCTTCTTCTTCTGCCTTCTATCCCCATTGAAGCATAGACCCTCAACCAACTTATGCCAAAGTCGTTCTCTGCAGCTCTCCCCCATGTTCTCCCCATCATCTTAACTTCACTCTCTAGCTCTGTTCTCCATGTGTTTTCTGGTCTGCCTTTATTTCTGTGCCCTGTGGTTCCAGTGCAAAGACATTCTGGTTATTTTGTTCTAAGATTTTCTCAACATGTGTCCTATCCAATACCAACATCTTTTCTTCACCTCTTGGTCCACTTGAACTTGTTTAGTTCTCTTCCATAGCTCAACATTAGTGATTCGATCATACCATTTAATTCTTCGATTCTGTGCAGGCACCAATTAGTGAAAATTTATAGTTTATTAGTAACTGTTTTAATAGTTTTCCTTGTTTCCAGTTAAGAGAGTTCCTGTATTTTTGTTTTTGAATAGGCACATAATGATCTTCTTCGAACATATGAATCCAAGCTACAGAAGTTTGGCATCCCAGTTGACGAACTTGGGTTCCAGCCACTTGAAAGTACCATTGGGGGTCAAACCCTGGGCAAGGGGCCAGCTGGTTTAGTATCTGCACCAACTTAGAGTGTCCGGAAGATGTTTTGTCTGTGGCCAGCAAGTACCTGTGTTGAAATATGCATTTCTTTAATCCCTTTTGGAATGATTAGTATGGTATTCTTACTCACTTACTAAGCTGCTTCTCTTCTACCTTGAGGTATGAAGATTTGCCAGAGAGGTTTGCCAGAATCTCTATCAACAGTTTTCTTTTTGGCTCTGTTCCATTTGAATTCTCTGACAGTCAGGGACTGTCACATGTTGTCTTCCCGTGCCTCCTAACGTGGCCGATTCTTTCCCGTTTTGCATACATATCCACATCAGCGTAATTGTGACTGATCCAATCTGGTTTTTTAAGGCCTGGGTTTTCAAGGTTATTACACATAGTGAACTTTGTCCCTTCTTATCACTTTGATCGCCTTTCTTTGATACCTCATTTCTGAGGTGTGAGTACTATAATCTTTAGGGGCAAAATACAAGCAGTCAGTTTAGCATGCTGATGCGGAAAAATCTGGCCTGTTGAATTTTTTCTTTGACCTTCTTTCTCCAAGACACTTTAGTTGCAGTAGATGACACTGTGAGAAACAAATGTTTACAATCACAAGAAGAGTAACTTTTCTTGTTACGCATCAAACCTTATAATTTAAAATATTTAGATTGGCACAGGCACAATTATAGATAACTTTTAAAATGAAAAACTAGAAACTACTATGGTTGGTAAAACACCCAGCAAGAGGCTAGCTGGTTTTGTGTCTGTGCCAGATTAGAATGTCCAAAAGTTGTCTGTGAGCAGCCGTATAACACAATATTACAAACAACTAATTTTCTGTTATATTGCAAATGCAATATTTGCTAAGTCATGCACATTTCAACACACACATCTTAATTTGTGCGAATCCTAGTTGTTGTACAGTTTCACACACATCTTAACTTGTGTGAATCCTAGTTTGTGCATGTTAACCCCGAGCCGCAAAGTTTCACAAACACACTGTGAATCATTCGTGCAAAGCTCTTAATTTTGGGAATCCTAAATGTCATTTCATCACTTCTGGACTTTTGTTCTAGAAACTGGCAGAAAGCTGAGTTTTTGAACAGTGCACATCTATTTTACAGATATAGCTTATGTGTACGCAGACTGTTGGTTCCTCGCCTCTCATGCAGATACACCTCGATTTCAGGCAAAACTCTTCCTAATTAGTTGCCTTGTAGGACATGCTTGTTAGGGAGGCAGTGAGTCTGTTCTTTCTTCTTTAAAAAATTTTTTTCAAACCCTAGAAAGGGGCCCGGGAACCCATATGGGGAACAGATAATACTGTCTGATGTTCTTGCTATCTTCACCCTTGCTGTCTTCACCCTTGCTGTCTTCATCCTTGCTGTCTTCATCCTTGCTGTCTTCATCCTTGCTGTCTTCATCCTTGCTATCTTCACCCTTGCTGTCTTCATCCTTACTGTCTTCATCCTTGCTGTCTTCATCCTTACTGTCTTCATCCTTACTGTCTTCATCCTTACTGTCTTCATCCTTGCTGTCTTCATCCTTGCTATCTTCACCCTTGCTGTCTTCATCCTTGCTATCTTCACCCTTGCTGTCTTCACCCTTGCTGACTTCACTGTGAGATAAATCTTTTGTTAGGAAGTGTTTGTTGTGGGATAAAAATTTACAAGATGACCCTATCAACATCTGTACACTGTGTGGTGGTTTCAAACCGGACCAGTGTGCTGTTTATAGACGTGTGTATGTTGTCAACTTTTTTTTTAATGAAATATATACATTTTGTGTGTCTGACTGGATAAAGAAATGGCTTTTGTTGGTTTTCTTGTCTGCCCTTCCATCTGTCAGCAAATCTGTCTGTCAGAAAATATCTCTCTCTCTCTCTCTCTCTCTCTCTCTCTCTCTCTCTCTCTCTCTCCTCTCTCTCTCTCTCTCTCTCTCTCTCTCTCTCTCTCTCTCTCTCTCTCTCTCCTTTGTAATGTTTAATATTAAACAGTAATTTTAGAGAGAGAAAGACAGATTTGCAGACAGACAGACAGATTTGCTGACAGATGGACAGACAAGAAAGTAAGGATAATTACAGTCAAATGATGGAGCAGCAGTGTTGTAGTGGCTAGATACTACCCTCCAACCCAAAGGTCTTGAGTTCAAATCTGCATGAAGTCAGATTTTTTTTTTTAAATTTCTTTTTCTTCTTCTTAGTAGTCACGAGCTATAAACTCCGACAGAAAGTTCTGGTTGTTTGTCCATCTCTGGACTTTGGTCTTGTGAAACAACTTGAGTTTTGCATGCACATCCGTTTTACAGATCTGGCTTTTTTGTCTGTTTGTTGTTGTTACTATGCAGTCAGTTGGTTCCTTGCCCCTTCGGCAGATGCACTCTGACTTCGAAGGAAACAGCCTGATTAGTTGCCTCTTATGACATGCTTGTTATGAAGCAGTGGGTCGATTCTTTGTTTTCCAAGAATAGAGCTACCCCCTCCCCACTGTCCACCCAAGTCTTTTTTTAGTTGGCTGGCTTCTGCTAGGTTGAGATAACGATGACCATGACAAAACTTAAAACTAGCATTGATAAGAAGGGCCAACACTACACTCAGAGAAAAAGCAAGACAGACATGAAGCCAGACTACGACTGGCACCATTAGTGTTGGAACTCTGTGCTGGCTGCTGAGGATGGGGACAGATTGAATAAGGGAATGCCTCGAGTGCTGTGATGTCAATATGGACATATGATCAGACTGCTACTGGTACCACTGGTATTGAAACTCTGTGTTGGCTGCTGAAAATGGAGATAGAGTGCATATGGGAATGCCCCAATTGCTGTGATGCCAGTTTTTGAATCAAATCGAATCATCGTAAGCTTGTATCTCACAACTATTGTTGTGACAACTAGCCAGTCGATGATGATGATGGTGATGATAATGATAAAGATGGTGACAATGATGATGGTAATGGTAATCATGAGGATAAACTCATCTCAGCTCAAGAAGGGCTAGAGGTGCTGGGCTGGAGTCCATCCGTGATATCAAAAGGACTGCACAGGGTAGAAGGGACTGGAGAAGTAAACAGATTCCTGTGTGGCATATAATGACACTGGAGGTACAGTGATGATGATGATGGATCTTGCAGTTAAAGTATTTTTGCTGGGATGAGGTAACCAATCTTACCCTTAATGGATTCAAAGAAAATGTTTGAAGTCACTGAGGAAATCCTTGTTTGAAAGGAATTAGTTGCATGTTTGTACTAGGGCAGCATGGGGTAAGAGGAAAAGAACAAGCAGATTGGCTTACTGGCAAGGCACAGGAAAAGCAAGGCTGACGTTCTCAGTGCTCTCAAGGAGGCAGGACAAAAAGATGATTCAGGAGACAACGTTGAATCTCGGCAACACTCAAGGTCAAAAGAGGTGTCTCCAAACATGAACACTTTACAGATAGCCAAAGATTGATTTGATTTGATTCAAGAACCGACATCACAGCACTCGGGGCATTCCCATAAGCGCTCTGTTCCCATCTTCAGCAGCCAACAGTTCCGATACTAATGGTCCCAGTAGCATTCTGATTAAACGTCCATCTTGCCTTTCCTCTGAGCCTCGAGCATCTGCCAGAACCTCTCGTCACTTCCCGCTGCATCAATCTCACCAGATTGTGGTGATCCATCTGTTCCTCCGAACTGTACACGCTCTCCCACAAGGCACTAACCACGTCTGCCTCATCATGTATCAGTATTCCACCAAGTTGTGCAGAGCCAGCTAGTCTGTCTGCCTGCTCATTTCCCAACGCACCGGTGTGGCCCGGTAAAAAAATCCAGACAATACTCCTCACTCCTGTCCTCCGCAGCGAAGCACGCCACTCTGCACGAAGCATACCAGCTCTGATCTTCCTCAGCATGCTTTCTGAATCAGTTACAGTCACGATGTGTGTGTGTGTGTCGTGTTCCCTAGCCAGCGGAAAGCTGCAGTGACCGCCTCCACCTCCATTCTTAAGCTGGATGTTGTGGTATCATATATAGCCAAAGAAGAAAAGTAAACCATTATAAAAACTAGTGTATCAGTCACCACAAGCTGAGGGATATACTGAAGATGGGATCCGATCGCTTATGGACCGATGTGCAGTGAGGATAATCTGTCAATTAACTAACTAATCTTATCCTTAGTTCAAGTCTTCTTCACTGTTTTCTTTAAACGCTTCGGGTGTCAAGGAAGATATAGGTTTTGCTTTTTGCTTTTCTGGCCACTTCAACCATCGTGGTGTTGTTGAGGTTCTTTGATGTTATCCTTCCATCTTGTTTTTTGTTTACAGATCATTACCAGTTGTATAGTATTAATTATCTATTTATCCTTGGGTGTATGCTTCTGGCCCGTGACGACACCCATTTTCACAGTTTTGGTCCCTGAGTCAACGTAATTGAATAGCCATGCCTTATTTTATACCTGGTAGAGTTCGGTCGCACTGTTTTTGTTGTTGTTGCTTTCACTAAGGGTCAAAGGTTAAACAAAATTGACATTACTTACTTTACTTTACTTTTTCCTTCCACGTATGCCGCTAAGCGTTGTGGGGAGATGCAAGTTCCTGTCATAAGCAAGGCGGGCAGCATCTGATGTTCTGAGGCCATGCTTTTGGCAGGTTTCGGAGACCCCGTCAATCCACCGTTTCCTTGGTCTTCCTCTTGCCTTATATCCTGAGCTTCTTTGGTTGAAAATTTGTGATGTTATTTGATCATTTTTCATCCTGGTTAGATGTCCAAACCATTTCATTCTTTGATGTTCTATGTAGTCTAAACATGGCGTAGTTTTGACAGTGTTTCTAATGTCTATATTCTTTATCCTGTCTAGTCTGGTCTTATTCGCTGCTTTTCTTAGACATTTCATTTCACAGGCTTCTATTTTTCTTTCATGGGTCTTGTTGATTGTCCATGTTTGGCACTGGTAGCAGAGTGTTGGAATGAAGATGGTGTTTATCAATTGTCTTTTGGTCTTCATGGTTATATCTGGATGTTTAAGCAGAGGTGATAGTTGGTATGTGACAGCATTTGCTTTCTGATTTTTGACATTCACTGCAGTAAAATAATGCCGGTGATTTCTTTATCCAGTCAGACATGAAGTTTTTGATAAATGTTTTTACAAGATGCAACACTTGTCGATAGTTTAACTAAGGAAATAAATATTTGTAATAAAAATAATTATTGTTTTTAATCATGTTTTTTTGAAGTTTTGTTTTTCTGCTTCTTCTCTTCTTTGTTGTCTTCTTTGCCCCCTTATTTTTTCCCCCTTCTTCTTCTTTCTCTTCTTCTTAGCACTTGCCAGCTGTAAACTCTAGCAAAAAATTGTGGTGGTTTATCCACTTTTGTTCTTTGGTCTTCTCCAGAACTTGAATTTTGTAAGCGCATCTGTTTTACAGAGCAGGCTTTTCTGTATGAGGACTGTTAGTTCCTTGCCTCTGAGGAGGAAACATTTATTATTAGTTAATTTGGTCCAGGTCATGTTTGCCAGCCCATCGACACACTGGCTGACCTTTCTCAGACTCTTCTGGGTTAGAGGGATGTCACATTGTCTTGTCTCCAGTTACATCACCGCCGATGTTGCATGTTCTATACTACACGATGACACAGCTTTCAATGACCCCAACAAATCTAGAACTGGCCCTAACCCAACCCCCAACCTTCCCCCCCCCCCCCCCACCCAGCCCCCCACCCACAGCCTGAGCCTAGGTCCCATGAAAGACTCTTTTCAAAGAAAATGGTACAACGTGACACCCCTCTGACCTAGATCAGACTGAGAAAGTGTGTAAATGGGCCGGGAAATGTGAACAGGTCCGTTACTTTTTATGGCATCCTTGTTAGGTAAGGAGTGGGTCTATTCTTGTCTCCCCCCCCCCCCCCCCCCCCCGCCCCGACCCAAATAGGGCCCCAGAACATACATAGGGCTCCATAACCTACACAGGAACCTCTTCTTTTAGTCTTACTCCTTCTCCAATAGAGCCTCTAAATCAGTGGTTCTCAACCTTCCTAATGCCGCCACCCTTTAATCTTTGGGCTCGGTTCTCTGGTCTGTGATGATCCCGATTTTCACAGTTTTGCCCCCGAGTAAACTAAGTTGGAATAGCCCTGACTTATATTATTACGCTCCCTCATGTTGTGGCGACCCTTTAATACACTTCCCTCATGTTGTGACGATCCTTTAATACACTTCCCACATGTTGTGACGACCCTTTATTACACTTCCTTCGCATTGTGACGATCCTTAAATATAGTTCCCTCATGTTGTGGCGACCCTTTAATACAGTTTCATCATGTTGTAGCCACCCACAAACAATTATTTTCCTTCATAACTTTCATGTATATGTGTTTTCCGATGGTCTTAGGTTCCCTGTGAAAGGGGTCGTTCGAACCCCAAAAAGGGTAGGGAGCTGCAGGTTGAGAACCTTTTCTCTAAATAATACACAGTGTATGAAATCTTAGCGCAGTGGTCTCCAACCGGGGGGGGGGGGGGGGGGGGGGGTTTACCTGGTGTGGGCGGATGTACACACAAAACCAAAGTCCGAATGGACGAACAACCAGGACTTTGAAGAAGAAGAAAGATTGGGCTCTACTTGCAGATTTGGCCGGCAAGCTGGACGGCGTCGGTCGGCGTAGTGGGAGTTCTTTCCCTTGGCCGGAATCAGAGCATAAACTGATACATGCTGTTAGAGATCACCGGTTG